TCATGCTTGGTAAGGTGGGGGGTTGACGAAAGAGGGGGAGGCCTTCAACGAGATGGATTGACATGGTGGCTGCGACGATGGGCTCAAGTACAGCATGGGTCATGGAGCTGGAGCGGGATCGGGCAGTGTTTCATTCTGCTGTGCCTGGGGTCGCTATGAGTCAGAAATGACTCGACAGCACCTAAAAACAACAACAGATAGCTCTGCCTCCACCACTCTGTGGAAGTCTTGATGAAGAAAGGCACCTTGGCACTGACACTGCAAAATGATAACAGTTGGTACAGTGCAGTTATTGGGTCTACAGGAACCCAGGTCTCCAATGAATGATGACACACTCATTTTAGCAATATCTGCATACCTACCATAAGCGAGGCAGGAAAATACAACAGTGAACATCACTCAGCTCACAGTGTGGCAGGGGATACAGCCTAAAAGGCAGATACAACTTAGTAAGTGCTATGAGAAGTTTAAGTGTCTAGGGCTAACTAAGCTAATAGGAGCCTGATCTTGGAGTATCAGGGAAGGCTACTGGTAAGGCAGCAGTATCTCAATGGAGAACTAATGATGGATAGATGTGAGCCAGGCAAATCAAGAGAGCTTCCTAGAAAAGGAAATGTCAGGTTTCTGGGCCTAGAGGCATGTCAGAGACCACGGAATTGGGAATGGAAAGATGCTTACTATGGTTGGAGATGAAATAGGGCATTGAGGTTGGGGAAAGTTGAGACTGAAGAAGGTAGCTAGAGTCACCACAAGACCTTATGAAGCAGTGAGCTACTCAGACCCTATCCTGAGAGCAATGAGGCATCATTCAAAAGTGAGGGGGATAACATCACCAAGAGAGAGGAGTAAGAAGAGTCACACTCCTGTTCCCCAGTGAAACATCAAAACAGCAGTGGAAAATGTCAGAAACTAACCTTGTCAGGCTTTGGTAAACGGAGGTGCACAGCAGACAAGAAAACACTGTATCAATAGAGGCAACATCAAGAAAATAGGAAAACTGGATATCCACTTGTAGAAAAATTAAACAGGATCCATATCTCACACCACACACAAAAACTAACTCTAACAGGATTAAATACCTAAATGTAAAACCCCAAAACATAAAGATCATCAAAAAAAAACAGGGGCAAACTTAAGGGGCCTAACAAATCATATACACTATAAAACATAATAAAAACGCACAAATAGCATAAGATAAATGGGACAACTGGGACCTCCTAAAAATTAAATTTATGTGAATCAAAAGACTTTGTCAAAAGAGTAAAAAGAGAACCTAGAGACTGGGGGAATAAAAATGGTAATGATAGACAGGACAAGGAACTAATCTCCAAAATTTATAGAAAACTTTAAATACCTCAACAAAAAAAGACAAGCAATCCAATTTAAAAAGGCAAGGGACATGAATCGACACTTCACCAAAGAAGAAATTCAGGCAGCCAACAAACCACATGAAGAAATGCTCACAGTCATTAGCCATTATGTCTGTTATTTCACCATCATAGCCTTGTCACCTTCGGTAAGTGATTTATGATTAATGAAAAGAATGTCAATTTAGGATTTCTACTGACTCTTTCATGATTTGGTACTGTCCCTCAAAATCAATCTGAGAATATCAACATTAAAATATTAAAGAGACTGTGTTCCTGTTAAAAGTTAGTTGGAATCTGAGGTCTGAAAAAACACTAACAAAGAGCTATGTGTGGATGAACTTTACCTAGATAATAGCTCCTTTGGGGTCCAGTGTAGGTGGCTGTGTCTGACTTGAAAGAAATAATCTTTAATCCTAGGGTATTTTGGTCTGGGCAGGCTAGCACTGCAAAAAGCACTTTCAGTAAGCCTCTTGAAGTAAAGAAGCCACTTTCAGTAAATGCCCAGGCAAGTTCCCTAGCTCTTTGTGTGAGCATCTCTCTGCATACTAGTTAATCTACTTTCAACCACACTCTTCCTGAGGGCAAACTGGCCCTCCCTGAGCTTGCCCCAGACTGGTCTAAGCATAGCCATATAATAGTTGGTTTGATGTTCAGCAAGCATTGGAGAAGTAACATAAAGAACTCAAATGGTGTCTGAATTTATGTCAAGACTCAAAATGGAGTCTGGGCTCCTGCTGCAGGCTACAGCCTTACACAAATCAAGTGCTTTGGAATTTAAGTTCTAGTGCATCCTGTTGTTATTGTTGTTGTTTGCCGTCGAGTTGGACCCGACTCATAGCAACCCCTCCTTGGGTTTCCGAGGCAGTGTCACTAAGGAAGTAGATTGCCCCATCTTCCTTTCGAGGAGTGGCTGGTGGATTTGAACCGCCAGCCTTCTGGTTAGCAGTCAAGTGCCGTAGCCACTATGCTACCAGAGCTCCCAGTGCATCCTAGTCAGGGTCATTTAAGAGGAAAAATTCTACAACTTATTAACAGCATCTGACTGAAAGATGTCCACAACATTCATTTCTAACAAGGAAATAGTAATAGATAGTTTCAAGCACTTACCTATGAACTTTCGTGCCTCTACAACTACTAGAAGAGACTATTTTCCAAAGTTCCTAAATTCAAACTGTACAGTATGAAAGCCATTCAGAATTATAATACTCTGCTTTTCAAAGTGGTCCTATAAACCTGAAGAAGCTAGACCTATTTAAACACACACACACACACACACACAAACTTGTTGCCCTTGACTCAATTCAATTCAGAGATCCTATACAGGACAAGGTAGAACTGCTCCATGGGGTTTCAAAGGCTGTAATCTTTACAGAAACAGACTGCCACATCTTTCTCCTGCAGAACAGCTAGTGGATTCAAACCGCCAGACTTTCAGTTGGCAGCTAAGTGCTTAAACCACTGCGGCACCAGGGCTCCTTGCTGGATCTACTACTCCCCTTTAAAGTCAAGTCCCCTACTAGTCTTATTTTCTTCTAGATATCTTTCTACTAATTCTAGAAATTCAGACTGCTTTTCTATTTAGGGGGTAAGAAGTTTTAAAGACAGGTTAGTGGCTGTTGCTGTTCTTAACATTTCATGTCTATTATTTTTCAGCTTCCTCTAGTAACAACAGTAAAGAAAGTGCTTATACTCTAGGCTATAGGTGCCACAGATGTTTCAGGGGAAAAGTTCTGCCCAGGCAAGTAAAATGAGTGAATTAAGCAGGCTGAGAAGAGAATGAAAAGGAACATCAGTTCTCCCTGGGAGCTTTGGTGGCGTAATGCCTGAGGCATTTGACTGCTAACCAGAATGCTAGCAGTTCAAACCCACCAGCCACTCCTTGCAAGGAACAATCTACTTCTGTAGTGATACCACCTTGGAAACCCAAGGAAGGGTCATTATGAGTCATATCCAATTCGATACCCAAGGAGGCATCGCTATGAGTCATGACAGCAGTGCATTGCATTTTTGCACTGCTATTCAAAAAAGAAAATCCATTGGCAATCATTTGCAATCTCTGACATTTTGATTTCAATCTTAGATTTGGAACCAAAATAACCAGCTCTACCATTTTCTAGGTTTCTAAAGTCTTGGCAAATCAACGAACTGAGTTTACTGTCTTCACTGACAGATGACGTTATAAACATTAAGCACAACAATGTTCATCAAATACTTAAAACATGTCTAAACCAAAAAACCCAAACGTAATGCCCCCAAATCTATTCCAACTCACAGCAACCCTATAGGGGAAAGTAAAACTGCCCCATAGGGTTTCCAAAGTTGTACTTTTCGTTTTTTCTTAAACATTACTGATTGTGTTAATATACATAGCAAAACATCAATTCAACAGTTTGTACATATATAATTCAGTGGCATTGACATTTTTAGAGTTGTGCCACCATTCTTATCCTTCAGTTGTTCCTTCATTAACATAAACTCACTGCCACCTAAGGTTCCTATCTAATCTTTCCAAGTTGCTGTTGTCAATTTGATCCCATGTAGACAGATAGAAGGAAAGTTGGGCAAGCTACTTCCTTGTAGTTATACTGCCTCGGAAACTCAAGGTGGAGTCACTATGAGTCAGATGGACTTGATGGTGGTTTGTTTTTTTTTTTTTTTAGATATGTCTTAAAAGAGTACAATGCTCAAGGCTGACTTTTTCTCATGAGTTAAATTATTGTGCTGTTTTAAGATATCAGGGGATATTTTTGGTTTAAGGTTTAAAAATTATCTCAGGGCAATAACTTCAGGGGTTCATCTACCATCCATGGCTCCAGAAAGTCTAAAATCCATGAGAATTTGAAATTTTATTCTGCATTTTCCTCCTTTTGATCAGGATTCTTCTATGTAATCTTTGATCAGAATGTTCAATAAGTATACAAGGCTGTTATTTTTACAGAAGCATACCATCACATCTTTCTCCAATAAGTGGCTGATGCATTTGAACCACCAACCTGTCAGTTAGTAATCAAGCATTTAACTACTGTGTCACCAGGGTTCCTTAATGTTCAACACTTGGTAAACAACTAAACACAGTTTCCTATAGGTGGAGAATAAATCTTACCATCAGTAAGTTACTTTTGTGATCTTCAAAGAACCTAAGTGAAGATCCCAAGAAGGGAGTTCTCAGGAGATTTAGAGTCTTTTAAATTCTGATTACTGAATACTGAGTACTCAGTAATTAGAAACTCAATAGAACTAGCAATAAAGAATGCCTAGCAATAAGTTTTGAAGAAGCTGGAAGAGGTTCTTCTAATTAAGAGTTCTAATAACTGTCACTAGTTAATAGCACAAAAAAACCAATAAAGTACACATTGAGGGGTATATGTATGAGGGGAAAGAGTGGCAGCTTCTGAAATAAGCTGTTAAACCAAAGGCTTTTAAGGTAAATTTGTGCAAATTAGAAAACCTCTGGTGTTACATTATAGAGGACTGTCTGATAATCACAGCTTGTTTTCACATGGTTTTAAACAAATTCCAGAAAACATTGACTACAAATAAAGGACAGCTTTATTAATAGAGAAATAATAATAATAATACAGACTACAAAGCACTAAGAAGCTTAAATATCTAAGTCATAGCAAGCAGGTGGCAATTCAACATCCAGGGTCGAAAGAATGCTTGAAGGAGACTGCAACAGACCTAGGAAACAAGAATTTATTACATTTCTTTAAATTCTTGACTCATCGTCCATGTCAGCACAGGTACTGTCACTTTTAATCACAGATTCATGGTTTTCTCTAATGAGACAAAGAAATCCTCCCATCTTCATATTCCTTGAAATGTGGCTGTGGCCCCAGAATTAGCCTTCTTAAAAAATAAGTCTTAGAAGTATCTGAATCCTATTGTTCTGAGATCCAATATCACTAATGTGAGTTAGCAGCCTCACTAATGCGATTTATAAAATAAATGAACCAATATTTCCAAATCATATTTATAAAATAAATGAACCAATATTTCCAAATCATCAATGTTTGATAAATTCAAGAATAAAAGACTCATTCAAAATTAAAGAGATCAAAGGATTTTACCATCAGAGTCCAAATGTTCACTGATATGGTTTCCTATACTACATTGTAACTATAAGAAATAGTCTCTTGTCTGGTTTTAGTGTACTATCAAATATAAAATAGTACAAGTTATTTCATCAAAACCAGGGAGAGCAAATAGAAAACACTGATGGTAGTCACCAGTCTATACCAAGACCTCACACCATGTATAGTAGGAATGTATTGCTGTTCTATGCTATTGCTCAGGTATTTTGTTCCTATGTTATCCTCGTATATAACTTGTGACTCTCATCCCAACCAAATTTATAATACTTCAACATATAGCCTAAGAAGCTACATATTACATTTAATATGTAAATTTAGTTTGCTATATGTAGACACCAGATTTCAGAATGACTTAATTCCACCCTAGCATTTGGGACTGAAAAACAATCGTAAGCGAGAATAGTTTTCATTATTCTGAAACCTTACCTCTATAGTTCAAAAGACAGAAATTACTTATTTACATGCTAAACTGCCACACAGCTCTGTCCCCACAGTAATGAAAGTGTTATGAAACAAACTGTTTGCAGCCCTTCTAGAAGGAAGGGCACTTGTTCACTTACTAGACTCCCATGTCAGAGGAGGCATCTTCACAGGTGAAGGGGGACCCATGTCTAAGAGCTTTTCGAGTTCCCTCTCCTCATCAAGGATCATGAGAGGTACTCCATTCAAGGGGAGGTGTGCAATCTGGTGCTCTTCAGGCAGGTCAAAACTCTCAAAATCTGTCCCAGAAAAAAAGCATTTTGTTAGAGTAGCAGTTCTCAGTGTGGCCAGTGGAGCCCCTGGAGGTCTGAGACCCAGTGAGACCCATCAGATTAAAAACTGTTTTCAGAATACAAATACCTATTTCAGTGTGTTGACGCTTGCAATGATAGTGCAAAAGCAATGGTGATTAAAATTGCTGGTGCCTTAAAGCAAATCATCAAAACTATATTAGTAGTCATTATATTCTTCACCACCAACACTTACAGTGAAAAAAAATACTAGTTTCATTTGAAGTCACTTTATTGTATATAATAAAAAATTATTTTAGTTTTATTAGCTCTTGACCCTTGAGAATATGTCTTTTTAATATTCTGTGTAATAAAATAAAAAGTATGGATAAAGCACTTCTGCTGCATACTGAAGTATGATGTTCATTTCAGAGAAAAGAATTTAATTATTTGAGTTGCAAGTTAAATCAGAGAACATTTTCCTGAATATCATATTTATTAGAAATAAATGGTTACTCAGAGCTGCATACTTGTCATACACCTTCTCAAAGAAAGAAGTCTAACACTTCGAGGAAAACTGAAAGGTGCCAAAGATACAACTGAAAACTACAAGAAAAAATGAGACTTATGGGAAACTTATCTGCTACCATGAGTTGACAGCTTCCTAATACTTAGACTTTAATGAAATCAGTGGTGATAATAATGTGCTTTTGTATAAAAACACTTCAACATCTGGAGGACCTACATCTCAATGAACCAGTATTTCCAAATCATCAGTGCTTGATAAATTCAAGAATAAAAGACTCATTCAAAATGAAAGAGATCAATGGATTTTATCATCAGAGTCCAAATGTTCACTGATATGGTTTCCTATACTACAATGTAACTATAAGAAAGTCACTTGTCTGGTTTTAGTGTACTATCAAAGGAAAGTATACATATTTAACTGAAAGAGCTAATACAATGCTCCTCCCATTTCTAATTATAAATCTGTGTGAGAGCATATTTTCTTCAGATAAAAAAAAAAAAATGCACTGCCGTTGAGTCTAATCCGACTCATAGCAACCACTCCTTGGGTTTCCAAGGTGGTATCACTACAGAAATAGATTGCCCAACCTTCCTTCTGAAGAGTGGCTGGTGGGTTTGAATCTCCC